ACCCCACAGGATTTACAAGGCTATTTATGGAAAAAGACTGCTACATCTTTCAACTAGTAGTTAGTATCCAAGTGCTTTAACCACCACACCAACAGAACTTCTCTAGATATACCAAGCAGAAGTCAAAATCTTTCCAGATGAGAGACACCTACTCCCCCCCCCCAAAACCATATTACAACGTTTATTAAAGAACTATGACAGATAACAAATCACTTCATAAAAGACAAACTAGTTACCTAAGAAACATTACATTTGCAAGTGAGACTCTTCTAACCTTTTATGTGCTTTCTTCTCTCATAGTCTGCTTAAAACTAAACAAAACAAACTATGGCCATAGTTTTCAAAATAGAGTTTTTAAATGCACAAGGTAGAATAATGTATATATGTAGGGTACACCATCTCAGCATTCCTCAACCTGAAAGAACTGAAAATAAAATTCAAGACTTGACTTGAAATATTGAAGGATTCTATGGACAAAATATTGAATGACACATAAAAAAATCAAAAGAAGATGGAAAGAATGTGCAGAGTCACTGTAGCAAAAAGAAACGATTGATGCTCAACCATTTCAAGAGGTTGAATACAATCAAGAGTCAATGATACTAAAGGAAAAATCCAAGGTACAGTGAAGGCATTGGCAGAGAACAAGCCTATGGTAATTGATGGAATACAAATTGAAATCTTTCAACAAACTGATACAACACTAGAGGAATTCACTCATCTATGCCAAGGAATTTGAAAGACAACTACCTGGCCAACTGATTGGAAGATATTTGTGCCCATTCCAAAGAGAGGTAAGCAAATGGAATGCGAAAATCATCTGACCATATCATTAATATCACATACAAGTAAATTTTTGCTAAAGATAATTCAAAAACCACAACAGTACCTTGACAGGGAACTGCCAGGGGTTCTAGCCAAATTCAGATGAGGACATGAAATGAAGGATCTCATTACTGACATCAGCTGGATCCTGGCTGAAAGCAGAATATACCAGAATGATATTTAACTATGAAAGGTCTTCCAACTGTGCAGCTCATGCCACGCTATGGACAACATTGCAGAGAATGAACATTCTGGAATATTTAATTGTGCTCATGAGGAACCTGTGATGTGCAGACAATATAACCTTGCTTGGTGAAAATGAAGAGGACTTAAAAACTTGTTGATGAAGATTAAAGACCACCGCCTTAGTTATGGAAAGAAAACAAAAATCCTCACAACTGGACCAATAAATAACATCATGATAAATGGAGAAAAGATTGAAGTTGTCAAAGACTTCATTTTGTTTGGATCCACTATTAACACTCGAAATAGCAGTCAGTAAATCAGAATACGTATTGCATTAGGCACATCTGTTGCACAAGACTTCTTTAATTTGTTCAATAGTGAAGATGTCAGTTTGAGAAATAAGGTATGCCTGACCCAAGCCATGATATTTTCAATAGCCTCATATGCATGTGAAAGTTTCACTATGAATAAGGAAGACTTTAGAAGAACTGATGCATTTGAGTTATGATGTTGGAGAAGAATTTTAGAAGTACCATGGACCACTAGAAAAACAAACAAATCTGTGTTGAAAGATGTTATAGCCAGAATACTCCCTAGAAGCCGGGATGGCAAGATTTCATCTCTCAGACTTCAGACATATTATCAGGAGGGACCTGTCCCTGGAGAAGGCTATTAAGGTTGGTAAAGTAGATTGTCATGGAATTAGAGGAAGACCCCCAACGAGATGGATTGGCACAGTGGCTCAAACTTCACAATGATGTGAGGATGGTACAGGACTGGTCAGTGTTTTGTTCTTTTGTGCATAAGGTCATTATAAGCCCAAACGTATTCAATGGCATATGCCAACTACAAACAAAGAGAACAATGTGTATTAAAATGCAGACCTCCGGGTTGCCACCAACTAGTTTTATGCATTGCAAAATGCTGTGTTATTTTCTCCTGGTGTGGCACTGTAGGATAAGTACTGAACTGCAAACCCACTCCTTGGAAATGCTAGACAGGGTCCCTATGAGTCAAAAGCAACTTGATGGCAGTTAAACAGCAACAACCTCTCAGTTGCTGATATAGAGAATTAATTATTTATAAATTCTTAAAATTAAAATTCACTGAAGCTCTCAAGTTTTATATCTTGATCTCTTAAGATACCCTTCAAGAGACTGAATAATGTTGGCATTGCTACGTTCAATTTCTTAGCAATAACCTTAGGTCTTACCTAGTCAGACCTGGTCTTACCCAGTTGTAGATGAGGAACATGTCATACTTTTTAAAATGTATTATCAATTTTTAGATATTGTAGTTTTTTTTTTAATCCCCTTAACTGTTTTTTGTTGTGGTTAAGTGCTGTCGAGTCAATTCTGACTCATAGCGACCCTGTATAGGGTTTCCAAGGAGCAGCTGGTAGGTTTGAACTGCTAGCCTTGTGGTTCACAGTCCAGTACTGATCCTACAGAGCCACACCAGGACATTTTTTGCAAATTTTTGTTGTAATTTTGTTCATGTTTTATTTATTCATCTATTTTCATTTCACACTGTAATAATTTTCATATAATACGACTTTCTGTGATTATGTTTCATATTCTTGTGGAAATAAAAGTATAAATATAAAATTTTAAAGATATACTGTAGTCTTCAAACAAATATTTTTTGTAAGTCATATTTCCTAAGGAATGACTTTTTTGTTGTTTCACAAATAATAAATAGCATCCTCTTAAGGATATGACATAGCAACAAATTAGAAAAAATGATCTCAATTTCACTCACAGTCATATATGTTAGTTACTAAATAATGCTAAAGAAATAAAACTGACACTTCACGTTTGTTCCCTTTAGATAAATTGATTGATGGAATCAGAATGAATCTAATTTGTAAAATAATTTTAATATTAATCTAACTTTATGTTTGGTAATTGGATATATTCTACAGATTGTTATATATTATATGAGATATGTTTATTAATAATTTAAAATAATAAATCTTAAAATAAATTTAGTGTTTGGTAGTCTTAAAAAATAAGCTTTAGCGAGTTTAAGCTTTATATATATATATATAGTTCTGGTGATGCACCAGATTGCAAGATCAGTTTGAACTCTAAGATCGACGGTTCAAGCTCACCAGGCGCTCCTTGGAAACCCTATATAGGATTGCTATGAGTCGGAACCGACTCAACTGCAGTTAACAATAACATATATATATATATATATGTTGTTGTTGGAGTCGGTTCCGACTCATAGTGACCTTACACAGGGTTTCCGAGGCTGTAAATCTTTACCGGAGCAGAACGCCTCATCTTTCTCCCACAGAACCACTGGTAGTTTTGAACTGCTGACCTTGAGGTTGGCAGCCCAACTCATAACTACTACGCTACCAGAGCGCCTGATATATACCTTTGATTCCAGCTATCTGTTGTGATGAAAATATGCCAAGATATGTACAATAAATATGTAATGAATTATTGAGCATATTTATTTCAAGGAATAATGTTTTCTCTAAAACAATTTTTCAGGAACGAGTAGAATTATGAGTTTTCACAATACATGGTTACCTTTTTCATTTTTCTCTTATACTGATAATTAAAGATTGTATATGTATTTACATTTAAGCTTTTATTTTATTTTATTTTTTACCTATTCTTGAATTATCTTAACAGATCAATCATATTATGATATATGGACTTTAAATATTTAAATACAATTTGTGTTATTACCCTATGAAGGTAAAATATAAGGTCAACACAAGATACAACGTGGAATGAATGCATTGTTCACTTCCTAATATCATTAATCTCTGCTGCCCCAAAAATGTATACCACATAATTCATGACATTTGCGAAATCATGTTCTTTGTCTTCTCAGATATTTAATTGTCTATATTTGTCATTTTCAAAAAAACTGATACAAAATTTGTAGGTGAGACTAATGCTTGCTTTGCTGTCCATAGTATGTAATAAGCTTTGCTATTTCTGTGGTTATTGCTATTGTTATCGGGTGCCATTCCTTCTCAAAGGGAACCTACAAGACAGAGTACAGCTACCTCTAAGGGTTTACTAGGCTGTCATCTTTGTAGGAACTAGGTGGGGTATAATACTTTGATTTGAAATATACTTTGGAATATGTATTACTTTAAGTTCTAGAATAAAAGGAAGTGTCTAAAGAGCTGTCTGATAGACAGTGGGCTATTGTTAGAATTTACTGATCACGTATCATGAGTAGAGCATGCTAAACTCCAGGGATATGAAAAACAATGATGCTAGGCTACTTAAAATTAAGAATGTTCCTTTCAATAAGGATTCAGTTCTGGTATTGGATTTATTTGTGGGCATAAAGATCACATTGTTTCAGAACCATTATTATTTTATTTCAATTAAGATCCTTCTGAATTGTGTTGTTTGGCATAGCTAGAATGCACTGAGGTAGTTATGTTTTACACAATGATTGTAATTGTGGGCTACAGACTTCGAAGTTGCACTGTTTTCTTATAACCTCAGTTTGATTCTTCAATTTGAATTTTCAGGTGTCATCTACTATGATTGTGCTAAAAGCCTTCTTATATGTATATGGGTGGTACACTAAGCCTTAGGACCTTAACAATTAATGCTTATTTGATTTTCTTCACTCTTGAAAGTGCTAGGAAATTGAATTAAATTCTCTGAACTAATGCTTCATTCACATATTTCACTTGTTCCAAGCAGGGAATTCATTTTGGAAAACAAACCGTTTTGTTTTATCATCAATTATACTGAGCAACTCCTACCTTCACCGAGCATTGCTATTAGGCAGTTGCTAAAGGCAGATTTTGGTGCCTTAGAAATTACTAAGAAGTTTAGTGAGAATTTGCTCAGAATATGTTGGGAGAAAGAAAATTTACATACATAATCAGTAATTTACATAATCAAAATAATTTACATAATCAAAATCCGTTTGATGAATCATAACCAAATAGCAGAAGGGCACTGAAGGTCAACTGAGCTGCTTTTTGACTAACATTTCAGGGATTGTGAAGCAGCAGATAGACAGCCATATCACAGATCCAGATCAACAGAACAACGGCCTCTCCTAGAGCGGACCACCACCCGCTCCAGATCCACTGAACGTCCTGATACAAACCTCATGAGGTCGATGCCTTCATTAATGACTGGAAGATCTGCCCCTCCTTCACCCGCCTTATCGAGGTGAAAGATAAATCCATCAGACTAACTTCCCCTTTGCCCCACCAGCACACCATCTTATTTCCCCAGCAGCTAATGGTCCCTTCTTTCATCCTTGGCTGATCACTAATAACAATCAATACTAACCCTCTAAATGTAAGCACACTATTTATATTCAATCGATATAATAGTGTGTGGCTATCATTGTAATTTGTTTATTAATTGTTCTGACTGCATTTGTTTTGTGATTTCTCATTTTTATCAGGAGTCCTGAGTATTTCCCCATGTAATGCACCTCATAACTGTCATGTTCTTCTCCTACAGAGTGAGAAATTGTTTGTGTTCATTAGACATCACTTTTGGAATATTCATCATAATGACAGTAAATGAAACTAGATTCTTAGTTTCTTCCTACCAATGCTAATATCATTTATTAACTAACGTAATCTTTAGCTGAATTTTGAAATATGGAGGGTTTTATGTCTAGTTACATGAGCCATTTCCAAATAAAAGGTTATTTAATATAAGCCCGAGTAAAAATCTCTTAGGGTCAGGGGAGGAAAAGTTGGAGAGCTTGATACCTAGTCGAAAGAAAATGTAAAGTATTACCCTTTATTCTTTGAGCTGCAGAATTCTCATCTTGCTTTCATATGGATTGAACATTAGTTTACATTAGCAATTCCCTGGATTTTTCTATAGGCTTTTGTGTGCATGCATGTGTGACTATGTGCATATTACACAAAAATGTAAATGTCTTTTGCTATTTAGATAACCATTCAGATATCCTTATCTTGTCCTACTTTCTTAACCTTTTAATCAGCAGCTAAACCACTTATAAAATTGCACTTAAACAGCTATCATGTGACCCAAATGTAGTAAAAGTGTTTAACTCATTCTAATGAAAATGAATATTAATGGTGTATCTTATAGGTCTCATCCTCGTACTGGGTCTGTCCAGACCAGCCCATCAAGTACTCCAGGGACAGGACGAAGGGGACGACAGCTTCCACAGCTTCCACCAAAGGGAACGTTGGAGAGAAGTAAGTTTCATTTCGAATTATGTCGTATAGGAAATGCACATGGAGGCTAAGGTGAATCAAGACTTTTTTTCTACTACATCTGTGTTACTTTACTTCTTTTGTTGATTAGATACTTTACCTCTATTTGAGTGTATTTGTGTTTATAAATATGATATATTTTGTATTTAAAATGTGTTATAACTGGAGGCAAAATAAGCTATTTTTATTAGTGTTGCTATTTAGCATTTTTCTAATTTGAATGAATAAATTCATTTAAAAAAATAAACTTAAAACAATGCTCGTAAAATAAGCAGTTGGATGATATTTCAATGCTACAACTAAGTTTATGTAATTGTTGATAGCTACATAAAGTTTATTAGTAACTAGCCAAATCAATTTTCACACACTGCAAAGGACTGGTTAGCTGATGCACAACAATGGTGATCCTTCCCAAAGCTGGAGTACCAGAAAAAGGTAATCACGAATATAACAAAAAAGATGCATGTTGTACTGATATTTTTAATACTTGCAAATTTTGGCATAAGAAGCATTATTTGCATACACACACATGGACATACTCCCCCCCTACCCAAATTTGTAAATTATTGGATAAAGGACCTCTAAAAGCATGGATAACTGAATATAATAATTTTTCAACCTCCTTTTATAAAAATAATCCCTTTATTTAGTAGTAACTGGATGTGCTTTGCAAGACAAAAAAAAAAAAAAGAAAGAAAAGAAATTATATATTTGGGTTACCATTTAACTTTTTTTTAAATAGACAATACAGTCTGTGCCTTTGGAAATTTCTGTTGTTTTTAACCCCTGTGCTTTGGTTCCCTTTTTTGTTTTGTTTTTTTATTTTATTTTTTTCTAGACAATGGAGTGAAGGAGATAGAATCTTATGAAGGTCTGTACATAAAGGAGGGTTTGTTTTGTGCTGACAGCCTTTTTGGGGGGCTATGTAAGCAAAAATAAACCCAACTGCAATTGATGTCCCTTCATTGTATAGACTTATATAGTAAAATTATTTTCTTTTATGATTTTGGTGAAGTAATAAGTTTTTGTTTTTCTTAGAAATTAAGCGAAGGAGTTAAATTTCTTTGATTCAGTCAAGTAAGAATGCAAAGGGTTTAACTTCTTTTAAATACAAAGGTAAAATATTCTCCTTTTTAAGAACTGAATTTGCCTTTCAGACAATACTCTAGGTTTTGATTAAGACTTTAACCCAAGATATCAATTGCAGTCTGTGTTTATGTCATTGAGGTCATACACATAGTTTAGTTATATTTATCATCCTATATTTCATTTTGTATTTTGATGATCTTTTCATTATTAAATTTGACTTTCTAGAAAAGAAAGTTGTTGAATTTGATAGTGATTGTGATTTGCATTTCTACATCATTTTTTATGTTGTAGAAAGACTATAGTGTATCAAAGTTAAATGTGATATTGTTTCATTATCAAACACTACATTATAACTCAAGAAAATATTAAGTTATGAGATACGGAGTGTGATACATTTGCTAGGACAAAAAAAAGTCTCAGCTACTTATACAGTCCTGAAATTTATTTTACTACTTTAAATATTTTGTAACTGTTTTGTTACTAATGAATCTCCAGCACATAGAATAATGCCCAGCATATAGTAGGCCCTCAATAAATATTTGTTGAATGAATGCATGAAATATTGATTTAAAAATCAAAAAGGTATCTCAAGTCATTTTATAAAGTGCCATCAAAAAAAAAATCATGTCATCTTATATATATGTTTATACTAAATTTTGTGTTTTGAAAACCTACTACGTTTTATTTTGATAACCTATTACATTTATATTATTTGCATTTGAGCAACATATTTTTATTGCTTTATATTATTTTCTGTAATAAGTTGTGTTCTCTTTAGTTGTAGCTGAGTGATTATAACTTCTGTTGTATGCCTTTTTGTACTTACTATGTACCATGATTTTGCTTATGTCCCTTATAAAGATTTCAGCAGCATTTTTGATTTTCAATTATTTCCATAAGGATGAGGTATATAATTTTATAATGACTTTTCATAAGAAAAGTTCTGTAGTATATAAGAACTTTTTTGTCCTCCCAGTTTTTTGAAGGTAGTTTTACAGTATCATTTGTAGGAATTGTAGATAAAACCAGAAACGTGGTTAATATCACAATTTAAATTTCATAACATTTTAGTATCTTTTATAGTCTGTTCAGATTTGAATAGCTCCATCTTTATCATCATAAAGGTACCAGAAATTGAACGTAGAGCTGATACTGAACGTTAGGGTACTAGGGATTCTAGCAGACTTGGCAAGAAACAGCCTATGAATTGTTGAGTTTTGTTGTTTCTGTTTATTGATAGAATCCATTAAAACCACTATTTCTTTAGGTCTCCAACTGTAGTTTTGCCATTTTTTTCCTTCATAAAAAATGAAAGGGGAATATAAACTTACTTTTTCCTTTACAGTATGCATTAAAACCATTTTTGTTTTATTTAAAAGTAAGAATTTTTTAAGCCATTGTGTTTATATATGTTGATATGGACACTTTTCAGGACAGAGTTGTGTAATCATCTTTAGATTTAAAGGACGATATATTTGTATATGCTCATTTTTTTTAAAAAAAAAACTTTTAACTTCTAGCTGAGATTAAAGGTACTATAATAATTCTAAATAGACTTTCAATTGACAAAGTCAATTTTGCTTAATTTATCTCTTAAAAAGTTAGGTTGTCACAAGTTAATTTAATGGTATTATTTTATAATCTAAGTATTCAAATGCCTGTTTTCTAATTTTCAACAGCAAAAACTGAATAAGTCCTAATTTAACTTTCTATGATTTGGGTTGCTTATGTTATATATTTGCTTGTACCTGGTGTGGCGCTGTGGGTTAATGCGCTAAACTGCACAGTCGGTTTGAACTGCAAGGTTGGTGGTTCAAGCTCACCAGTCGCTCCTTGGAAACCCTCTAGAGGGTCGCTATGGGTCAGAACCAACTCGACAGCACCTAACAACAACAACAATTAATTAAGACCTTATGTACGTTGGTCCTGAATGTGGAATATATTTAGTCATCTTCTCTTTGTCTTAGAGGCAGCTAGGTAAAATAAGAGAAATAAAATGATTTAATTCTGTAAAGTTCAGTATACCAAACACAGCATTATTATTTTATTTTCCTCTAAATACTTGACATGCTTTTGTAGAAATGATACAAAGTTAGTAAAATCATATTTTGCTTCCCTTGAAGAAAAACAATATTGACGCTATTTTTCTAAGAAGAAACCAAGTTTATAGGTTATAAAGCATTTGTCCTACTTTACATAATTTACCACATGTCTCAAATGTCTTAGGATCACAGTTTATCAATCAAACCAACATAAAAGTTGATAGTGTGTTATTTATTAACAGTATACTTACTTTCTTTTCCATTGTAAAAGTCAGAAATCATTCTAAATAATTTATTAGTCTCTTTATATATTTTTACTTTATTCTGAATAATGTAATAATATCCTTTACATGATTATAAATAATTTGGAAGTTTTTTGTTTGTTTCCATTGTTTCAGTTAGCAATAACAAATGTACCTATGTAGCCTTTTTTCTTCTTCTTTATTTTTACTCTTGTGAATGCAGAAGTTAATGAAGAAACTGGGCATGTGAAAGAGAAAGGGAGAGAAAAACAGGGTGAAGAGGTCAAGGCAGGTCGGTCTCTGTATATAACATGAATAAGGGAATGTTTTAGAAGTATGAATTTTCAATTTCAAATAAGATTTTGTACTCCCAAGTTTATAAATATGCAACAAAGAACAGAATTTTTCCAGAACTAATTTTAAAATAACTAATTTTAAAATTTATCGTAATTTTTGCCACTTTGTCATAATATTCATGGAGTGGCACTGTAGGGTAAGCACTGGACTGCTAACTGCAACATGGGTAGTTCAAACCCACCAGC